CTCGGGAAGTGGGAGGGAGGCAGATCTCTGTGAGTTCAAGGCCAGCTTGTTTATATGCAGTTAATTCCAGGATAACCGGGGCTATATAGAGACCCTACCTCAAAACAAAACCAAACTCAAAGTAAAATAAATCAAGAAAGAAAGAAAGAAAGAAAGTAAGAAAGGGAGGAAGGAAGGAAGGAAGGAAGGAAGAAAGAAAGAAAGAAAGAAAGAAAGAAAGAAAGAAAGAAAGAAAGAAAGAAGAACAAAAGAATATAATCTTGGGCATCCAACTCTTTGGAGTACAATCTTCTGATAGTAAGAAGAGGAATTTAGACACACTACACTTATGATTCCTACTTAGTGGTTTTTGGTTCCCACAGTGCTAGGCACAAACATTCATAACACAATATCTGAAATACAGTCAGCTCTATGAGGGATCAGTTGTTGCTATTCTCTCCACAGATGGTTTTTTAAGCATTCGCCAAGTTCTACTTCTTCAGACATTTCACTACTACAAATGGAAATTTCACCAGCTCTACTAATCAGCAGTCAGCTATAAAGGGTTGAGGGTTTACCATGTAGCGCTTGATAACAGTCCAGCCCTTAGCCTCATGTCATAGCTCCAGCGATGCCATAACACACACAGGGGTCAACCCCCACAAACAGCTATATCTTTCTTCTATTTCTCACAAATATCATTAAATTTCAGTCACCATGAGTAGGATGCAATCAAAAACTGGCCTTCAAATGCCCACTAAGCAAAGAAAGTGTGATGGGTTTTATTGTTGTTTTCAATGAACACATCTTCTGGTTGACAAGATTATCTCTGTCAAGCATATAAAGAACTTCGAATACACCAGAAAACTTCGGTACAAGGGCTAAAGTTGGCACACCAAATCTGTGTCAAAAAGAAACTGTGGCAGAGGCAAACCACATTATACTGTGCCACATGCCCAATACTGTACAGGCCACATGCCTGAAGCTGTGAAACAGTGGCCTCAGGGATGGGTACAGACACTCTAAAAATGAACATCCTATGCCTCAATCCTCAATGTCCATGACCTCTTTAATTCTAAGTGTATAACTCTGATATTTTTCTCTTCTGTACAAAGGAGGCTCAAGATGGAGCTAACTTTTCCTTTTATTTTCTTTGGACTAAAATGTGATTTCTGGTAGAACACCAATATCACAGGAAACAGTAAAAAAAAAAGTAGAAAAATTCTAAAGTAAAACACCCACTAATTCAAGAACTCCACAAAATTGGAAAATCTGGAAGAAATGGACAATTTTCTGGATAGATACCACATACTAAAGTTAAATCAAGACCAGATAAACTATTTAAATAGACCAATAACCCCTAAGGAAATAGAAATGGTCATTAAAAGCCTCCCAACCAAAAAAAAAAGCCCATGACCAGATGGTTTCAGTGCAGAATTCTACCCGATTTTCAAAGAAGATCTAATTCCAATACTCTTCAAATTGTTCCACACAATAGAAAGAGAAGGAACATTACCAAACTCTTTTTATGAGGCTACAATTACCCTGACACCCAAACCACACAAAGATGCAACAAAGAAAAAGAATTACAGACCAATCTCTCTCATGAACATTGATGCAAAAATACTCAAAAAAATATTGGCAAACCGAATCCAAGAACACATCAAAAAAATTATCCACCATAACCAACTAGGCTTCATCCCAGTGATGCAAGAATGGTTCAACATACGAATATGTGTCAATGCAATACACCATATAAACAAACTGAAAGAAAAAAAAACACATGATCATCTCATTAGATGCTGAAAAAGCCTTTGACAAAATCCAACACCCCTTCATGATAAAGGTCTTAGAGAAACCAGTAATACAAGGTACATTCCTAAACATAATAAAGGCAATTTACAGCAAGCCAACAGCCATCATCAAATTAAATGGAGAAAAACTCAAAGTGATTCCACTAAAATCAGGAACAAGACAAGGCTGTCCACTCTCCCCATATTTATTCAATATAGTACTTGAAGTTCTAGCTAGAGCAATAAGACAACAAAAGGAGATCAAAGGGATACAAATTGGAAAGGAAGAAGTCAAACTTTCACTATTTGCAGATGATATGATAGTATACATAAGTGACCCCAAAAATTCTACCAGGGAACTCCTACAGCTGATAAACTCCTTCAGTAAAGCGGCAGAATACAAGATCAACTCAGAAAAATCAGTAGCCCTCCTATACACAAATGATAAAAGGGCTGAGAAAGAAGTCAGAGAAACATCACCCTTTACAATAGCCACAAATAATATAAAATACCTTGGGATAACACTAACTAAACAAGTGAAGGACCTGTTTGATAAGAACTTTAAATCTCTAAAGAAAGAAATTGAAGAAGGTATCAGAAAATGGAAGGATCTCCCATGCTCATGGATAGGTAGAATTAACATAGTGAAAATGGCAATCTTACCAAAAGCAATCTACAGATTCAATGCAATTCCCATCAAAACCCCAACAACAATTCTTCACAGACTTGGAAAGAAAAATACTCAACTTCATATGGAAAAACAAAAGACCCAAGATAGCTAAAAGAATCCTGTTTAAAAAAGCAACCTCTGGAGGCATCACCATCTCTGACCTCAAGCTCTACTATAGAGCTATAGTAATAAAAACAGCTTGGTACTGGCATAAAAACTGACATACAGACCAATGGAATCGAATTGAAGACCCTGACATTAGTCCACGCACATATGAACACCTGATTTTTGACAAAGAAGCCAAAACTTTACCATGGAAAAAAGAAAATATCTTCAACAAATGGTGCTGGCATAACTGGATGTCAATATGTAAAAGATTACAAATAGATCCGTATCTGTCACCATGCACAAAACTCAAGTCCAAGTGGATCAAAGACCTCAACATAAATCCAGTTACACTAAACTTAATAGAAGAGAAAGTAGGAAGTACTCTTGAACGCATTGGCACAGGAGATCACTTCCTAAATATAACACCAGCAGCACAGACACTGAGCACAACAATTAATAAATGGGACCTCTTGAAACTGAGAAGCTTTTGTAGCGCAAAAGACACGGTCAATAAGACAAAAAGACAGCCTACAGAATGGGAAAAGACCTTCACCAACCCCACAGCTGACAGAGGACTGATCTCCAAAGTATATAAAGAACTCAAGAAACTAGACATCAAAATACTGAACAATCCAATTAAAAAATGGGCTAAAGAGCTAAACAGAGAATTCTCAAAAGAAGAGTCTCAAATGGCTAAAAGACATTTAAAGAAATGCTCAACATCCTTAGTCATCAGAGAAATGCAAATCAAAACGACTCTGAGGTACCACCTTACACCTGTCAGAATGGCTAAGATCAAAAACACTAATGACAGTCTATGTTGGAGAGGATGTGGGGTAAGGAGAACACTCTTCCACTGTTGGGGGGAATGCAAACTTGTACAACCACTGTGGAAATCGTATGGCTGTTTCTCAGAAAACTGGGAATCGATCTACCTCAAGATCCAACCATACCACTCTTGGGCATATACCCAAGGAATGCTCAATCATACCACAAAGATACATACTCAACTATGTTCATAACAGCATTATTAGTAATAGCCAGAACCTGGAAACAACCTAGATGTCCGTCAACTGAAGAATGGATTAAGAAAATGTGGAACATCTACACAATGGAGTACTACTCAGCAGAGAAAAACAATGGTAGCATGAAATTTGCAGGCAAATGGATGGAACTAGAAAATATCATTCTGAGTGAGGTAACCCAAACCCAGAAGGACAAACATGGTATATACTCACTCATAACTGGATTCTAGATATAAAGCAAAGAACAATCAGACTGCAACCCACAGAACCAGGGAGGCTATATAGCAGGGGACACTAGGATGACTGTGGCTTATAATAAGTTTTGGTTTTACTCAATTACTGGGCAAGCCTCAATGAAACATTTCACTATTAGGACAAGAATTTATACTGTATCAAGCTGATAATAGAAAAATAAATAAATAAATAAATAATTTTTTTAAATTTAAAAAATTTCAAGAACTGAAAAATAGTTCTGGCTGAGCAGAATAGTTCTTAGCCAGAAAAAGGCTTGAGGCTGAAGTTTGAGGTCAGCATGGGTTACACAGTAAGTTAGAAGTCAGCCTAGCATCCAGCAAGATCCTGTTTCAAAAATAATTATTTCTTTAAAAGCTCTGTAATGAAAAAGTCCAGGGAATGATAGAGTCAAAAACCATGAAAGGTACACTATAAAGGAAACTGAAGTTCAGAGCTCACAGTTTGCTCCGTCACAGACATAGCCTGCTTCCCATTAGACCTTACTATAATTTAGCAAAAAGTCTGGAGAAGCTTGATCCAAAGATTTACTTGTTATAGTAAAAATAAGCAATAACACCATGGCATTTTCACTGGTGGCTTAAAGTTAGTTATACATTAGGCCAATCATGTGGCACAAACCTTGAATTCCAGCCCTAGGGATGAAGAGGCAGGTAGATCTCTGTGAACTGGAGGCCATTCTGGTCTACATAGTGAGTTCCAGGCCAGTCAGGGCTACATAGTGAGACCCTGTGTCAAAAGAACTTATAGATTAGATTTTGTATAATTATGAGTAACAAATATAATGTCCTTTGTCAAGCTTATCAACATATAGTACATGTAATGGGAAAATCTGATTTTATTTATTTTTTTTTTGGTTTTTTTCAAGACAGGGTTTCTCTGTGTAGTTTTGGTGCCTGTCCTGGAACTCGATCTGTAGACCAGGCTGGCCTCAAACTCACAGAGATCCGCCTGGCTCTGCCTCCCGAGTGTTGGGATTAAAGGTGTGCGCCACCACCTGGCTGATTTCATTCGTTTAGGTACAAAATTGGTTACCAGTTGTGGTCATCTATCTTTAGGGTCTTTTAAGAGAATGTCTATCATGTAAAGCTAATCAGTAACTACCAAGAATGGAAACCAGAGACTGATACTTGGATGCTGTTTGTGACCTTCTCCTCTGCTGCTGACACTTACCTTGATGGGTATTTCAGTGAGTAAGCAGCAGCCAAGAACCCTCCCAGGTTGTGTCCAAGCAAGATCATTTTGTCCAACCTGAGGGCACATCTCCACTCTTCAATGGATTCCACAAACTGATTCTCCACTTCTTCCGCATCACTGTCAAACCTAGGTCTACTACTTCTTCCAAAGCCCAGCAGGTCAAAGGCATAGACAGGCCTATCGGTGCTTAGATCTTCAAAATTCAGGGCCCAAAGTCCAAGACCTCCTCCAAAACCATGAAGGAGGACAAGTGGTGTCTTACTAGAAATGTCGTGAGAGAACATTAGTGTCCATATTCTGTTTCCATTGGATATGCGAACAGGCTCTTTCTTGTAAGTGCAGGGGACACCTGGTGGGAACAGACAGCACTCTGCTCAGTGTCACAGTTTCTGAGGGCTCTCAGAGCAAACACAATGAATAGTCAGTCAAAATTTTTTTTGCTTTTATTATATCAACCCTAAAAGAGTATATACCTGAGTAAAGCAAGCAAATCTAAATGACCATGTTTTATAACTACGTGGGAAAACTTACCTTAGACAAGCCTCAAGTATCTGTGGTTAAAGTCTTTGGCAAGTCATATGACCTCCTGACTTCTCTCCACTCTAGCATATGAAGGTATTACATGCCTAGAACTGGAGAAGAACTTAGTGGTCACTGATCCCATTATTTTAAGGTCTCTAGCTTTGCAGACAATAACAAAAGAATACCACTTGAATTTGCAGAGCACTTGATGGATTAGCTTGTGACTGAAGTCAACTGGAAAGGACCATGGAAAGTCATCAGGAACTTGGGGAAGGGTTGATCATATCTATACTAAACACATACCTGATGAGTTAGGTCATGACAAGAACACCTCATCATGAGGCAACTTGAGTTCAAGCCACTTGCCCAGAAAATAAAATGATACAGTTTTATAGATCAAAACCCTTGTGTTCAAAATTACATAAAACTAAATACTTTAAATGCCTTAAATTGACCAAAGATAAAATTAAAGTCGACTGATATTAAATTAAATTATCAACTGAATAGCTACCCTCTAGGAATATCTTTAATCATCTGTGCAAATACATGTGCAACAGATAAAATATGGACAGCCACATGTTTCCTGCCTTTGTCTTTTTTTTTGTTTGTTTGTTTTTGTTTTTTTGTTTTGGTTTTTCGAGGCAGGGTTTCTCTGTGTAGCTTTGCGCCTTTCCTGGAATTCGCTTTGGAGACCAGGCTGGCCTCGAACTCACAGAGATCTGCCTGGCTCTGCCTCCCGAGTGCTGGGATTAAAGGCGTGCGCCACCACCGCCCGGCGTTTCCTGCCTTTGTCAAAGAACTAACTTTAGGTTTTGTATTCATGGAGGCAGCAAAGAGAAAGGCAGCATTTAGAAATTTAATAGATGCCTTGCCTTAATTGGGAAGAAATTCTCTCACAGAATTCGCAACAAGCCAAATCTCTTCAGCTTTTTGAAACGGGGCTAAGACTTCCCATAAAAATTATTTGTAACATCTAGTAGAGAGCTCATCCCAGTGTTCAGTCACTTACATTCATGTCTGACATCAGAACAGAGCCAATCCTCAGTCAGACATCCATACACATATTGGGAATTTAGCATTTTTAATAACTCTCCTAGCAAGAGTTTTTTATTTGCTGGGTGATAGCAGTGCACACCTTTAACCCGAGCACTCAGGAGGCAAGTGGATCTCTTGGAATTTGAGGCCAGCCTGGTCTACAAAGTGGGTTCCATGACAGCCAGGGCTACACAGGGAAACCCTGTCTCAGAAAACAAACAATCAAACAAAAAAAGTTTATTTTGGCAAACCACAATTAAAACTTCTGCTAGCTTTGTATAGAGCAACATTATCCAGGTATATGGAATAGAAATTCATTTTTGTGTTAAAACCCACATAACAGGGCTAACTAACTGCTCATTTCTAAGAAAGTAATCAGCTATGATCACTTACTCTGCAATTGCTAAGTGCATAAACAAGAAAATTCACTGATGGTAAAGAGGGTGAAAAACAGGTGTAGACAGACATCAGCAGAAACATAAGGAATAATCACAACAGGAGGCCCTTACTTTATCCACTCCTATAGATTCTATCAGCAGAACAAAACTGTACAATAAATACCAGAAGTCTGGATCAATTTCAGTGCTAAGAAAAAACAACAGGATTCTGTGCCAGTACAAATGTGGATCTAAAGAATGGTACAGTCAGAATCAATGCAAAGGAGCACCTCCCCACCCCCCCCCCACCCCCCGCCCCGTTCTATACTTAAGGACTGGGAGGCTGAGCAAGGTGACTTACCCAAGAGCTGGCACCACTTCACAGCAGGTCTGGGCCAAGTTACTTGGTTACAGTCTAGACTATGTTCCACTAATGGGGCTCTGGAACACTAGGAATCTGTTCTCAAGTACATAGTTTGGGCATAGCAGGAAGGCCTTTGAGAGGTTTTGAGGCTATTAAAACTTTTAACACTGGTATTAAAGCTTTATTTGTCATGCTTTTAAAAATATTTTGTTTTTTAATTGTGTGTGTGTGTGTGTGTGTGTGTGTGTGTGTGTGTGTGTGTGTGTGTGCTGAGAACTCACACAAGAGTATGTGCATGTGAGTGCAGTGCCCATGGAGGCCAGAGGCATCGGATCCTCTGGAGCTGGAGTTACAGGGGATTCATAATCTGGCGTGAGTGCTGAAACTGAACTCTGGCCCTCTGCAAAACCTTTTAAAGCTGACATCTCTCTAGCTCCCTGTTTGCCCTTCTACTCTCCTTCTTTTGTGTTGTTTTGTTTTTTGAGACAGTGTTTCTCTGTTTAGTTAGTCCTGGCTCTCCTGGAACTCTCTCTGTAGACCAGGCTGGCCTCAAACTCCGAGATCCACTTGCCTCTGCCTCCTGAGTGCTGGGGTTAAAGACCCCAGCATCACCACGCCCTGCCTACTCTCATTCTTGATGAGCTGCAGTCATGTGACAAGCGAGTAGACAGAAACAGGTAGAGAGTCCAGCTCATAAGACAGATCTGTAGTCATGAAATCGATGTTCCTCTAATTACAGTTTTTGACAAGCAGGCAATGTTTTTACAAACATTATTTTAACATGCAATGGTTTATTACTATTATTTAAAAAAATTAACATGTTAAAAATATTCAATTCAAATTTAATTCTACTAATAAATATTGATAACTATAATCCATAAACAATGTTCCTTGGGATCCTTATTATTTTAAGAGTTTGACAGGGATCTAAGACCCAAAAAACTGACAATCACTGCCCCCCGGACACTGTGCCACTTGCTGACACAGAAGAGCAAGAAGGCTCTTTTGCCAGCAGCTAACACACCACAGAATCTTATCTTCAGTTTCAGGACAATGCAATATATTAGGTCTATTTTAGTAAATAGTTAAAGTAACTTAGAAGAGGAAAACCTTACATTTTAACATTTTCTCTTCAGCTTCTTTAAGGTGTGATGTAGACGTAGGACACCAGGTAGGAAGCCACCCTGTTAGCCATCCTGACCTAGAATGCCAAAAACAAAATGCAGATAGGTGAGGCCACACTCTTAACTCTCAGCTACTACATCCTGAAAAACAAAGCCTCAGAGGAACCCCACCACCTGTGTGAGGGCAAGCTACAAGTGGCACAAGTCAATGGAGTAGGCCTACAGGGAAGTAACCAAGTCCACCTTATCTTTCCAGATAGTCAAATTCCAATAATTATAGAAAGGCTAAAAATAAGAAAGGATGGAAGGGAGGGAGGGAGGGAGGGAAGGAGGGAGGGAGGGAGGGAGGGAGGGAAGAAGCAGGGACACCACTGGAGCATGAATCTTAACAGTTCTTATTAATAAAGTCAAACCCGAAGTCAGGTACTGGGGTGAACACTGGAAGATCAGAGAAGCAGAACAAGCCACAGCTACCTCGCCTCGCCAGTTCCTCAGCTGATCCTGTTTCCTCAGACTGGAAGCCTCTGAGTCCTCATCCAGAATGAATCTCAGCTGAACTGCTGCTCCAAGCCTAAAACCTTAACCAGCTTAGTTCCTGGTTTTCACGTCTTATATACTTTTCTGCTTTCTGCTATCACTTCCTGGGATTAAAGGCTCTTGTTACCACACCTAGTTGTTCCCAGTGTGGCCTTGAACTCACAGAGATCCAGGTAGATCTCTGCCTCTGGAATGCTAGGATTAAAGGCGTGTGCTACCACTGCCTATCCTCTGTTTAATATTGTGGCTGTTCTGTTCTCTGACCCCAGAGAAGTTTATTAAAGTGCACAATTTTTGGGGGAACACAATACCACCACACACCACTCCCAAAGTAAGGCAGTTTCTTAACAGGGTAAGTGCAAAATTGCTAAAGACTATGTGTGAATAGGTTCATCTCATCTGAGCAGCAGGGTGAGAAGAAAACTATCAAAAATTCTCATAAGAAAATAGGAAAAAGAAAAGCTTCAGACATCACGAGAAAGTGCAAAGAGCTGATGGCCTGTGCTCAACCTCCTAGAGCAGCTAACAGTTAACTGTTGATGGGCAGAACAGCCTTGACTCAAACAAACAGCAGATGAGAAGAAGAATACAGCACCTGCCTGAACAGCACAGTGGAACCAAGAGAACAAGGACACAGGTCTGAGACAACAGGTGAGGGAAGATGTGGAGAGGCGACAACTGACACTTGCCAGGAGCCAACTACGAGGTGGGAGAACCTTCAACTTCAGGCCTGGCAGCAGATCAAAACCTACTGCAGGGATTTGATGAAATACAGAGTTTAGCAGCCATCTACAGCTGGCAAGGATTCTGTCATGGCAGTGAGACACTCCTAATAAAAGAAAAACGAATCTGAAAAAGGGATCAATTCTAGATGAAAGTTAAGGGCCTGAACCAAAGCACTGGCAAGAGGGACCGAGACATGAAGATTTAGTCAAAGAATATTTAAAACTGAAACAAGCTAAATTTGATCAATGGTTAGAAGGGATAATAAAGATTCTTGGGGTTTTGCCTCAGAGTACCACTAATCATGACAGACAACACACTAAATAGAAATAAAATACAAAAATGGGTACCGTTTGTGATAATCATTAGTCTAGCACACTGGAGGCCCTAGGTTTAACTCCCTGTACCTTAAACAGAATAAAACAAGCAACAAGAGAAACAAAAAAATTAGTGTGAGTAGAGAATTAGTCTAAGTTTGGGAAGGGATGATTCAGCCTCTAGCTTTTTCTAAACTTCATAGACTCTCCTTACATTTCCTTTTCCTATAAAATAATTTATATATAACAGGTACTCAGTAACTAATGTCTGATGAATGATTAGGTCACTTACAATTTAGGGTAGGCCCAGTTCACAGATGTGAAAGCTGATGTTAACACAAGGATAGATGATACACTGCTAGTAAGAAAAGTAGATCTTTTGAGCTCAATTCTGAAAGACCCCCAAATCCCTGTTGTCCACAGGAGAGTACCTCCCTCAAAATGCCTGAGAAATTGGCTACTGTCTACAGGTGGCCTAGGCTCCTTGGTCCTCTCCAGTCTGCTCCTTCCCAGCTTTTCTCTTGCTTTGCCTCATCCCTCTCAAAAGGTCACACTACTGCAGGTCTCTGTGGTCCGCCCAGCTCTTCCCTTGGTCCTAATACCTCACTTTTCCAGACACACTATTCCTGATTCTAGGGTGCAGAGACATGGTCCTTACTACAGATACTGTAGTCAGTGGCTGTTGTTTATATGTTTATCTGCCTACCTCATGGTGAACACACTGAAAGTTAAATCTATCTCAAAGCTGACCTTAAATATCCAGTGCTAAATACACCAGCTGGTGGTCATGTGAGCCCTTGAGAACTGTGACTGGAAACTGGAGGCTGCAGTCAGCAGCCTAACAGAGTGTGATGAAGAAAGGCAGATGGGCTCTCTCTATAGGCAATGAACACTTAGTGTACCTCAGGTTCTACAACAAGGTATGTGGGCAGAGCAAGAGTCTGAAACTTCAAAACAAAGAATAAGCGAAAGTTGACACAAAGCAGAAATCCAGGAAAGAGCCATCAGCATGTAACACAAAAGGTGACTGGAGAACAGGACAATGCCCTAACAGCTTCACTCTCTAATGGATGCCCGTCCATCCTTTATAGTTACAGTTAACTTTCTTCTTATCTCAGTCTTTAGACAAAATTTTCTAGTAGGTTCAGTAGTTCTCTCTCTCTCTCTCTCTCTCTCTCTCTCTCTCTCTCTCTCTCTCTCTCTCTCTGTGTGTGTGTGTGTGTGTGTGTGTGTGTGTGTGTGTGTGTGTGTTGTATACACAAATAGAAAGAATCAAGGTGAATATTAGCAGATATATCTGGTCAGCTTTTCATAGACATATAATGGCCTGCACTAAAATGTCAGTTTCATATTTGTGCATTGACAATACAAGACAAGAAGACCTCTGGCCACCCCTCACAAGTGCTAAACTGATCAACTGTTGAGGTACAAACCTAAGAAGGTGTTAACACTAGTCCACTGATGAGTATGCAAATCTATCTGCAAATTAACCAAGGAAAGTTGCTTCAGCTACTTGTTTAATTTATTAACAATTTTTTAATTTTCAAAAAGAGAGTAATATGTTTTTGCTTGTTTTTAAATTATCACTAAACTGAAGCTCTTTCATCCTCTTTTGTGCCTGCATATCTCTATTTGATCATAAAATTATGAACAGGAAGTTTCTTATAACTGAATCTCATCACTTTAACAAATATCCTTCAGATCATAGCACAGTTCTTTGTCAGAGACAATCAGAGATCAATTAAAAAAAACAAACAACTGAAGTGAACTATAATCTACTTGCTTCAAATGACATACACAAGTTGGGACAAAGAAAGCACAAATGCAGTATTTGCTTCAGTCATTAAAAACAAACAAAACGCCAAAAAAAATCAGACAGAAACCTTCTTTGTACAGGAGATTGGAATTTTAAAAGTTATGAAACAGACTGTAGTACAGGCATAAGTCTTCCTCCACTGAGTCACTACTTCAAAAAGCAAACCCAAGCTTGTATTGCTAAGCAACTGAGAATGGCCTTGAATTTTTGATCCACTTGCCTCTGTCTCCCAGGTGCTGGAATTGGAGGTACAAACCACACCTGGCCCGCAAAACAAGCTTCGAAGGCTAGATCTATTAATTTCGACTCCTAATGACTAGTTTAGTGTCTGTAGGCCTAGTGGGTACATCAATAATTAAGGGCACAGATTCTCATTATATTTTCATAGCTACCTTTTCATCAACACAAGGCCAGATTTTACAGATGAGCTTTTTCTATAGCATATTTGAAGTAGAAAAAAACCCCACATACTTTCATGCCTAATAGAACTGTGAAAATAGTATTTCCCTGAACCCAGAAGTGCTCTGTCCAGGTCTGCTTTAATCAGATTACTGGTAAGACTTTTACAGAAGTGGACTTCTATTCTGCATGTGTAAGACCAAGTCCCACACATACAGCAGCCCCCAAGGAACACCTGTAAGGAGTGAAAAGCGGTGGTCTGTCTACCCACCCCTCAGGTTCTTGTTCAGGAGTTCTCATGCCTTTCTTACTACCTCTGTTATCCCTAGCCAGCCCTCTTCTCTCTGCAGAGTAACTTAACCACATCTCTAAATAGACTGTGCTTTCCACTGCATGTCTGAGGCCACTCTGTCGTCTGGCATTCCCTGGACTTAGCATGTGGACACTGAATCTAAGGCTGTCAGACTTAGAGCCATTCTTCTGAGATCACAGATTCAAGGTAAAAACCACGAGGTCCAGCTGTAGAACAGTAAACTCTCTACACAGTTTTGTAAAATAGAAATGCATGACCTATTTGAGCAATAATCAGTAAGCTTTATTATCCATAGTAAAGCCTGATTTCAGAAGACATGGAAGAATCAATTGCAATACAAAGAAAAGTCATTCACTGCAAAGACTGTAACTTCCCCAAAGTAAACACAACACCAGCAAGGCTTGTCAGTGTGTGCCCAAAGTTTTTCTACAAAAGCCCTACGACCTGGACACTGACCTTGTTGGTAAGACAAAAAGGGCAAGTCCTGAAGCATCTAATTTAAAAAAGAAAAAAATTAAAAGATTCTTGATCTAGATCTATAACCACTGGAATGGAAACAAAAAAAATTAGTCAGGAAAGTTTTAGAAGACACACTAAAAGTGATAACTCTTAGGAAAACCAAGTAGTGATTAACATATTAGAGTATATTTACCAAAAAAAAAAAAATCTGATTTTAAGTATCCTGAATTTTCTCCCGAACTTTCTACCTACTTTTTTGTAACTATCATTAACAATGTACTTGTCCCTCACGCCATGAACACTTAAGTTCCTGGTAATTCCTGTTTTGTTCTCTGAGACATTTGACTATCTATAGTGTTACTAAACCTGAATTGCACAATCTATAAATATTGTGAAATGGTGAAAGAGGTTTCAAAGTATCCTGAAGAAAATATACAGAAGTCTGGCCAATTTCCACACACTCTGTTGGCCACTTAATGTAACATTTCTAATTAGGTTATAAGTAAAGAGGAT